TTACTGGTGGGCACTGTATATCTGCCGAGACTACAACTTTAATACCAGCCATTTAACCAAAAACTGCCACAAAAAGCACATTTCAGTAGAAATTAGACCCACCAGGGTATTTACAATCATGTTGACACTTTTCCTTTAACCATTTATCACCAACCAGTTTGCTAGTTATGTTTAATGCTTTGTGTTTTTCACACACTTTTCATTTTCATTGGTAATTTCAGACCACGTATGTCCTACTATTGTACATAGGTTTGCATTCTGCTACAACCCCTGAGTAAAGCAGGATCCCACATGGAGACCTCAATGAAGTGCTCTTGGTTCAGTGGCCCTGAGGTAAAAATCATTGCAGTTATGTAGAAATTGCAATGTTTCCAATGTAGGCTTAACACACTATTATAGTGGCTGTCTTCCTATCAGACAATAGATTTGCTTCCATGTTGAGAACCACTTCAATGAGAGGAAGCAGTTACAGTGCCTACATGGAACACTCCCACTTCCATTGGTGCTTGGAGTGTCCAGGTGCTTTTCTTTTACGTTTAGTGGTTGAACTTTTGCAAAGTTGTTATGAGATAGGAAAGCCCAGGAAAAAAAAACTAAAAGAAAAATTGGTTTATTAAAAAAAAAAAAAAAAGTTTTATTTCCAGAAACTTTTTTATACAACTTGGAAATTGAATAAATTCTTTTACAATGATGACACATATGTCCATGACATGTTTATATATCTAAACCTCCAATACTTCTAAAAACTATATAATATGAAGGCCTTTATGAAAGACTTTATATAAAGTTTCAAACTCATTGCAATTTCTGTACGTTGAAGACAAGTAAATCCTAGAGTAAAATAGAAATATGCATTTTCTGAGGGAGCTACAGGGAAAAAAAAATGTTTCAGGTTAGTGTGGGGGCTCGATTCTGTTGGTATATTGGATTAATATATATTCCCAGACCACTTCATCCCACTGGAGTTGTCTGGGTGCAGTGTCCCAGTCACTTTATTCCTGCAGGGGAAACCATTGGCGTTTTAGAGAAAATGCAATAAACATTGCAGGGTTAAGACCGCCTCTAGTGACCGTCTCCCAGGCAGTCACTAGAAAACCTCCTGCAGTTTAATGCTGTGTAACGACGCTGGGTGTGATCACGCTGTGCATGAGGACGTCCAGCGCCTTGCCGTTCCCGATAGGAATGCATTGATTTAATGCTTTCTTATGGGGAAGGCCTAATGCGCATTAGGTTCCAGTACTGCCCAATTTTTTTCCATTTTGGCTATCTTTGCCATAATGTGTTTTCGAGGTCTTGAAAGTCTCTCTTTAATGGAAATAAGTTCTATCTCGCTTAGAGAAGACAAAATAATGTTCTTAGTTTTGTTGATGGTTTAGTGTGTTCCTTTCATCACCAATTTTTGTAGTGGTGCATTTTTTTATTTTTGACATTGAATTGTGACGGTAAATTTCACGGTCTTTGTGTAGTCTGTTATCTTGAAATCTTTTATTCCATGTCTATATGGGGTTAGTCAGGACCCCTATCACAGCTACAATATGACAGTCACCAGTCTTTAAATGTGCATTTACACTTGGTCAGACAGGGTCCTGCAGGACTGGGTTAACAATTTGGACTATTTAAAATGATGTAAAACTCTGACGACATGACGTTTATTGTAGAAGCAGGGGAAAAAACTCTTCATAGAGAGTGTGCCCCCCTCGCACCACCCATATACAATTTCTAAATGCCACTGTTATTACACTGGGCATGTGTTTAGTTCCATATGTCACTAATTACTGATGCCATTATTGCAAGTGATTCATAAAGCCTAATGGCAGTGATGAAACCGACAGGACCAGGCTTTGCACTTGGAAACAGATTTTATTATTCTACATTAGATCACAGTCTCTCATTGTAGACACTCCCTGCAGGCTATAATAATGCAGGCTATAATAATGTTAGGGGTGTATAATGAAATCGATTAATCTTTGTTTACCCTCTGTCGTTTGTCCTTGGGCGAGAGAGATTTCCTTTTATCCATTGTGTTCTCACCAAGCTCCAGCTCTGCCACTCTAGACACCCAGACCACTTCAGCTTAATGAAGTGGTCTGGGTGCCAGGTCCAGCTAGGGCTAACCCATTTTTTCATAAACATAGCAGTTTCAGAGAAACTGCTATGTTTATGAATGGGTTAAGCCTTCCCCTATTTCCTCTAGTGGCTGTCTCATTGACAGCCACTAGAGGCGCTTGCACGCCAGCGTCCATAGGAAAGCATTATGAATGCTTTCCTATGTGACCGGCTGAATGCGCGCGCAGCTCTTGCCGCGCGTGCGCATTCAGCCGACGGGGAGGAATGGAGGAGGAGAGCTCTCCGCCCAGCGCTGGAAAAAGGTAAGTTTAACCCCTTTTCCCCTTTCCAGAGCCCGGCAGGAGGGGGACTCTGAGGGTTGGGGCACCCTCAGGGCACTATAGTGCCAGGAAAACGAGTATGTTTGTTTTCCTGGCACTATAGTGGTCCTTTAAGGGGTTGCCCATCTACACTCTATCCTTTTTATATTATCATTTAAAGGTTACTCCAACCATCTTAGCCACTGATAGCCCGCTGTATTTGTTATGATGGTAGGGGTACCCTGGGGCTGTTCTTCTGGCAATGGGACAAACCATTTGCCCTAATACCTGGTCCTGCTGGTGCCGAGTCTCTTCTGTACGCAGGTTTACGATGGTTTCTGCAGGCTGCTCTCAGCCATCAATATTTGCACTGAACGGACTATAGCCAGCCCAGAACACTTATTACGGACTGGATGACGAGGCCCCGATGATGCGGCCGGAGGTGGAGTTCTACCTCCGGCAGCATTTCACACGCTGCACATACAGACTCTAAGCACCATGACCACTTCAAATCAACCTTTTCTTTATATGTAATTATATGTTTAACAGGATTATTCACTAAACTCCAGGTTGCAGAGAAATAAAATCCAAAAGGCAGAAGTTAGTATAATGTGGCTGATCTATTGCACTTTGCCCATAAGAGTTTGTATTTTTCTAATGTCAAGAAGAGGGACAGCATTGCTAGTCTGAACTAATATCAAACTCATCCAGTAGAGGAAGTGGCTAGAATTGATATTATTCTGTCTCATATAGATATGGTAAAATGAAGTCACCATAGCATATTTTATTTGCTAGATTCTCAAAGGGGCAGATTTGCTCTAAGCTACTTTACCTATAGTGTTTCTTTTTGGAGTCTTTCTGTTTTCGGATAATTAGTTAGATGGCAGATTATTTATATATGTATTGGATGTTTTATATCTTATGGAAGCATCCCTGCAATATTGGGCTGGGGGATACATTTTTACACAAACCTTGTTCCTGCATTCCATTATGTGTGAATATAGAGTAAGAAGTTCGCACTTGGCTCACATGAGTATATTGCTGTAGCTGGCCTAATGCAGAAAGTGCTGGCTGACCTTTGTGCTTTAAATGTCACATGCATTTCTATTTCACATACGCTCCGTTTACCTTCCTGCCCAGATAACACCCTGAGCTGCATGTTATTTCAGTGTAATGAGAACTAACTCATTTGAGCAGGGTCCTCTTCAACCTATCGTTCCTGTAAGTTTTCTAGTAATTGTCCTATTTATAGTTCAATCCCCCATCTCATAATATTGTAATGCGCTACGGAATCTGTTGGTGCTATATAAATGGCAATGATAATAACTGACTGCAGACACTGATCTCATGGGATTTTAAGATTTTCTATTTGTTTACTATTCTTATTCCTCTTAGTGAATTCCTACTCTGGATTGTACGGAAGGAAACGCTTAAGATTTCTGAATTATTTTTTTTTTACAGATGAAAATTTGTATTGTATTTCTGATTTTGCAGATAAACATCTGGTCCATTATCACTTCCCATTTAAAAAAACCCAAAAAAAAAAACCACAAGATTTAGGGCTTATTCACAATCAACAATCGTCTGCATCTTAGAGTAACCTGCTTTTATCAAGGCAACTATACTTATGTATGTGGGTATTTTTACATCTTTCTCATTTTTGTCTGGCTTAGTTGTCATTTTATCTAAAAGAGGTAATTTAAGAATGAGTAACATTTCTTGCAAATATTAGAATTTCAATCCTATACAGGAAGTAAAAAAACAAAACACATGAAATTACAATTTTAGGTCCTATGAAAGAAAAGTAGCATCCTTGTCAGTTCTATAAAAATATACACACTTAAAGGGATTCTATAGTGTTAGGATTACAAATCTGTTTTCCTAATAACACTATATAGTGCCCTTTGGTTCTCCCTTCCCTTGTGCCCCCCTCTCCCTCCCTGCCTGCAGCACATAAAGGGTTAAACATTTAACACTTACCTGATTCCAGCGCAGGTCAGTGCTTGGCGCTAGGTCTGCACTCTGCCTCCTCTGTCATCAGGTGGGGCATCTAATGCGCATGCACTATAGGAATTTCACTGACCGCGAGGACATCCAGCGTCATTTAAGGGACTCTGAGTCCCTTAGAATTCCGGAAGCACCTCTAGTGGCTGTCGGATTGACAGCAACTTGAGGCACTCTTCGTCCTGCAAGGTAATTATTGCAGGAACACTGCACCCAGACCATTTCAATAAGATGTTTTGGATGCCTATAGTGTCCCTTAAAGTGTTTCTGGATTTCGTTTGTAAATATAAATGTTAAGTTCTTGCAAATAACATGGGCTTCAACCCATTCCTACACATTTTACCGTTAGAAACGTCATGGCAGACCACGGTTTCGCAGGACCATGAGTTTTTACGTTTTGTTTATGTTGACCACATCCAGCAGATTTACCCTGCGTGGATTCCCACCTCCTTGTACCATTTCACAGGAGTTCAATCACTAAACTGGCCAGATTTAACAACCAGTGCTTATGGGGCAGTGATAACCAGCTTTGTCCATCCAGACTCAGTGAGCATCACGGGGAGTGCAGTCCAGAAACATAGGGGATACCGTGAACTGTCAATTACTATACGTGGATCAGGTTGCAATGTAATGTGTGCAGGTGGTTAGCTCAATATCTGATTTCAATACATCAAACCAATATTTTTAAATGGGTGTTTTGTTGTCTTTCCTGCAGAATCCTAAAACGAGAGCCCAGATTGAGACGTTGCTGCACAATGGCATGAACAAGGAGCTGCGAGAGCGGCTGTGCTGCCGCATGTCGTTTGGCACTGCTGGTCTGCGCTCCGCCATGGGAGCCGGATTCTCTTGTATCAATGACTTGACTATCATCCAAACAACGCAGGTAAGCAGCTGGGTGCATGGCGTGTCAGAAATCCACATCATGGGATGATCACATTGGGGTTTTATTTCCCAAACTTGGATTTCTATGGAATTATAAATGGAATTGCAAAATGTATGCTTGAGTAGCCAAGATGCTGCAATAGATGATTCAGAGATTGTTTCCAATTGACTATTTTTCCTTAAACATTGCTGTGTGTGTGTGTTATACTTGGCACCATTTGGAATCCTGAGTTTTGTTTTATTTTTATTTTTTTATATTCATATTTGTATTTTTTGGCCAGCTTGAATTTCAGTTGGTTTTGGACAGATAGTTTTGCCTTCTCCAGTCTGTTCAGTCTGTCACCAGCTACCCATTGAGAATAATAATTATTCACTAAAGCAAGGGTCTGACACATTAAACTATACTCTGGAAAATAACTTGGTAAAGCCCCCTCCCCCAAATGTACCAAATTTGTCGGGTTATCAAAAATTGCTGTTTAGTGAATAATTCCCAAACGCAAAGATTTTACGCGATTTTTCACTCTTATTGTGCCTGCTGTTTATTAGCACTTACATATTTTATTTTTATTTTTTTAATTCACATCAGAGTCTCAGGAGTGTAATTTCATGCTGTGTAAGGACTGGCCTCCTCTGGATACCCATAAAACTAAAATAGCAATGTAATCTAAACTGCATCCTGTACAAAATCTATTTTAAATACATTCTTTTACAGGAGGTCACAGGATTTAATACACCCATCATGCAGCACCGTGGATTATGTTAGAGCTATACATTTTCAACCAATTCTCCAGACTGCTGTCTGAGGTGCTGACCTGCAGTACAGGAATCATCCACTAATCCTTGGCAAACGCTAACAGTATAAATTCCATTTCAATAAGTCCCCACTGGCCATACAAAGATGACACCTTTTTACTTTGCCATTTGAAACCATTAAGGTCGATTACACAGGAGTGAGCTTTGTTTTAATTAGCACTGAGCAAACAGGAGTGAATGAACTTGGCCTGGTTTATCAGTGTTTATCAAGCATGTGTTTTTCATTATTCTGTCAATATCTTAGTTTGCAGTGTGCAATGGAGACAGAATGAAAGGAACATGTTAATGTTTCAATATATTTATTTATAATTGCCTTATTCCTCCCCCGCCCCGCCCCCCCCAAACCCCAAAAGACCACATTCAATTTATAACAGACACAGCTCATTGCCGCAGCCCAATGTGTCCACAATAAGATTCTCATGCCTGATATCTGAATCAATTCTTGTAAAGAATTGTGGAATCTTGGCCATGAAACGTTACCTGGTGTTATGCTGTGTGTGAAGAGCTTTGAAAATCTGTAAAGGGTTACTCTAAGGCTAAGCATCATACCCAACACCCTGTAAAGGTTATGATGGCAGGAGCACCCTGGTTCTGTTAAGCAATGGTTTTCCCTTTTACTTGTGCCACCTGTCCTGAAGCCGAAAGTCGATCCCGCTAGCCATTCATTGGCTGAGAGCGTCAGCTGACCGCTCTCATCATTGAATGAAAACCTTTGCATAAGAATGTGCACTGAATTGTTGTTAGCCAGCCCAGTGATCGAGGTAATAGGGGCTAAGACACCCGTATGACCCTGTCAGAGTTGGAGTTACACCTCCGGCATCATCGGGGTTAAACTCCATATGTTCAGCATTTGAAAGTGAAACACTGCACATACAGACTCCTGGCACCATGACCAGCACTGAAGTAGTCATGATGTTTGGACTAGCCATTTAGGGGTGACTTCACAGTTACAAATACAATTTGTCACTCCTCCTCTCCAAGTAATCGTGCTCTGTATTTGTAACAGTGATATACGTGGTGTGCAACTGCCCCTCTCCCAATGTCATTACCAGCATGAGTTTAATGTGGACAGAATGACCTTGGAGTATACATTTAAACAGTGCATGTGTGTTTTTACTGTAGGCTATATTTAGCATTAAAGGAAAACTCTAAGCACTTAACTTCATGGAGTGGTTTTGGTGTATAGATCATGCACTGCAGCCTCATTGCCCAATTCTCTCGGATGCCTGCTCGCTGTCTTATCAACCACTTAAGGACACATGACGTGTGACATGTCATGATTCCCTTTTATTCCAGAAGTTTGGTCCTTAAGGGGTTAAAGGGACACTATAGGTACCCAAACCAGTTCACCTCATTGAAGGGATCTGGTTGTACCCTGTAGCTGAAACATTGCATTACATTTAGAGAATCTGCACTGTGTTGATTGCAGTGTTAGGAATGCCTCTAGTGGCTGTCTACCAGACTTTAACTCCATCGTGAACAGACGCCGAACTCTGTGCAGGAAGCTGTCTACCGTTTTCTATATCCCCATTGGAAAGCATTGAGTCATTCCTTTCCTCTGGGGAAGACCTAATGTGTGCGTTGCATGCTTTCATGTTTATTATAGCTGCTTACTATCGTATTGATGCACATTTAACTGCATGCGCTTGCTATTTATGATGGCTGCTCACTATCCTTGATGCGTGTTTCCCTGCTTGCTGTCTGTTTGATGCTGCGTGCTCTCGCTGTTTATTATGCGTGTTTGCCGTCTGTTTGATGCTGCGTGCTCTTGCTGTTTATTAAGCGTGCTTGCTGTCTGTTTGATGCTGCATGCTCTTGCTGTTTATTATGCGTGCTTGCTGTCTGTTTGATGCTGCGTGCTCTCGCTGTTTATTATGCGTGCTTGCTGTCTGTTTGATGCTGCGTGCTCTCGCTGTTTATTATGCGTGCTTGCTGTCTGTTTGATGCTGCGTGCTCTCGCTGTTTATTATGCGTGCTTGCTGTCTGTTTGATGCTGTATGCTCTCGCTGTTTATTATGCGTGCTTGCTGTCTGTTTCATGCTGCGTGCTCTTGCTGTTTATTATGCGTGCTTGCTGTCTGTTTGCTGCGTGCTTTTGCTGTTTATTATGCGTGCTTGCTGTCTGTTTGCTGCGTGCTCTCGCTGTTTATTATGCGTGCTTGCTGTCTGTTTGATGCTGCGTGCTCTCGCTGTTTATTATGCGTGCTTGCTGTCTGTTTGATGCTGCGTGCTCTCGCTGTTTATTATGCGTGCTTGCTGTCTGTTTGATGCTGCATGCTCTCGCTGTTTATTATGCGTGCTTGCTGTCTGTTTGATGCTGTATGCTCTCGCTGTTTATTATGCATGCTCATTATCTTATCAGCATGTGTTTCCCTGCATGCTCTCACTGTTTATTATGCCTGTTCGTTCTCCAACTGGTGCAGGTTTCTTTAAATAATCTCACTGTTTATTACACATGTTCACTGTCAAATTGCTGCATGTTTCCCTGCGTGCTTTCACTGTTTATTATGCATGCTCATTATCTTATCAGCATGTGCTTCCCTGCGTGCTCTCACTGTTTATTCAGGCGTGACTTTATAGTGGCCCAATAAACCTCATGATTGTGTAACAATGCTCTGTGTGTATGGAATGCAGCCAAGTAGGAAGATGCAGTTATTGCTTATTAACCATAACTTTGTATTCTAGGCCAATTTGCCCTTTTAATTCTTCTGTGTAATTTCTGTACATTCAATGATAGCAGTGTTTATTGTGACTTAAGGAACATTCCCAATCACCATAACCACGACAGACCGATATAGTGGTTATGGTGCCTTGAGTGCTGTCCCAGAGTAGTTTGTAATACCATTTTAGAACAGTTTGGCAACATACCTGGGTTTATCTGGACAGCCCACAGCCTGCTTTGGAATTCTTTATGTGGGACAATCCAGTTAACTTCACCAAGAGAAGCAAGGCCATGTTCTTTGAGCACAGAGTGTGCCCTCAGCCAGTGAGTAACATAGACTGTGACGGCAGATAAGAACCATTCGGCCCATCTAGACTGCCCAGGGGTCTATTTACTTTGTATTTTTTTTATACGGTTTACGTTAATAGAAATCTCCCTAAATTATATATTCAGTTTAAAAATATTGAGAAATTTACTCATTATGTCAGTAGCTTTGCGGATGTTACATTATTGTAAAATGCACCTCTGGTTTGGTTTCTCCTCTGCCCAGGCTAGATGAGTAACCATAGCACATGTGTTGTGGCTGTGGTGGAGAACAGGGGGGCCACCTGTAAGGTTTCTCCTGTTGTCCTTGTCGGTCAGTTTTACAACATTGAAGTCTTTATCTGCGCTAGTTGTGTAAAACTTATGAGCAAAATATTATTATGATATTTATAGAGCGCCGTCAAATTCCGCAGCGTTTTGCAATGGGTGGACGAACAGACATGTAGTTGTAACCAGACAAGTTGGACACACAGGAACAGAGGGGTTGAGGGCCCTGCTCAATGAGCTTACATGCTAGAGGGAGTGGGATAAAATGACACAATTCAAAATATTGAAACCTTTTGTTTTTTCCTCTCCATTTTGTTGTTCGTAACTAGTATTGTGATTAGGGTATCAAAATGAAGATCTCTCCCCAAGACATTTAACCAAGAGCACGTTGACACTTTCCTTTTAGACATTTTATTACTAACCTCTGCCAAATTTGCATATTCTTGAAATTTGTTTGAGTTTCTCAGTTTTTCACATAACTTTTTTACTAATTTTTAATTCTGCTAGTTCTGAGTAAAGCTATAACCCACATGTGTACCATTGCCAAACTTATAAAGTGAAATTAGCCACATGCTTTACTTTTACCATGATAATCTGTGCCACCATACTGTCACACTTCTAATGCTATTTCTAGACCTAATGCCAAACCAAACATCACTGTTTAGCAGATAGGCCGTCATGCTGTGAGATGTCAGAACCCATCACACAAAAGACAGGCATGACATTGCTCCCAGGATGATCAGTCTGCTTGGGTGCCAGTCATATCGTATTACTGGAGTGCTTATAGCCCAGTACAAACTGATCACGTGGTGTACCAGGCACTGCCTGCACGCAGCATGGACTGACAGCTTGTAGCAGCGTTCCAATACGGGGACAGCCTCTGGGAAGCTGTTGCTAAATGGCTCATGCTTGAGCCCATTACATGCAGCAGTTGGCATGTTCAGCACATTCACGTGTTACCAGCGATTGTTAGTGGCAGCTGGCATCCAGTCGCTGCTTGTTGATGCCACTGCATTTGAATGCCATGGGCAGTCTGGGGCGGGCTGTTGCTGGACACTAGTAAGAATTTTGGCAATAATCAGGTCTTTCCACTATCATCGATACCTGAGTTTTGGAGTGAAGAACTACGTAAATTGCTGCCATATCCTCTGTCAGCTGGCATGAAGTGGTAAATTCCATCCACAGAAAGTAAAGCAGTTGTTAATCATTGTTAAATTGTTCGGAATTCGTTTTAACATTCATTTTCTTGTTCAGTCAGCTTTAACACCTTAAGGACACATGACATGTGTGACATGTCATGATTCCCTTTTATTCCAGAAGTTTGGTCCTTAAGGGCTTAAACCACATCTGATGACTATCAACATTCCCACATTATCAGGGTTTACAAATAGCTGATACATACATTGAGGCTGCCTTTTCTCATCACTTATTCAGTAGTTCTATTTCTGTGTGTGTATTTACCACTAGGTTAATGCTGTCTGAAGGACATTCTAGGAGAGCATCATTCACAAGCAATCTTTAGCATCTAATAAGTTCTACATATAAAAAATTTAATGTTATGTGAATAATGTGTTATTTCTTCCATTCTGGCACAAATCGCTGACTAATTGACTGAATTATGTTTTGCTTTTGTAAACATGCATTGATGGGAGTAGTCTAAAATTTGGGACCTGTTATTCCAAAAGGGAAACATGATCTCAGCAAACCAATCCATCAAAATTGTAGGAATGCCTATAATTTGACTCTACTACACCTACAATAACTGGCTACTGTATCCGTGAAATGTATTGCTACAATCTGGGGATGTAGCAGAATATATAGTTCTTTACCGTACACATCAGGTCTAACACAGGAAAGAAAATCTCACCACTGTAACAGTAATTCAAAATAGATCATGTTATAATGCAGAATGCAACCGGGAGCTTGTTAAGCCTAATTGACAGTTTGTAACACTTTCCACCGAAGTGTTCTAAGTGTTCGTCTGGGTGGCCGCCGTTTGCATGAAAGACCACGAGGTGGTGGCCATCTTGTCCCCACGAACACTGGCAGCAGTGTTTTGGTCGTTAAGTTCATGGAGAGGCCTTCCCACTGGGAGCTGGATCTAGGAGTTTGGTCCAGGGTGGAACGGGACGCGAGACCCTAACCAAGCTGTAACACTGGAAGTGGGGATTATAGTGCTGATGGTTCCGGTGCGGTGCTGATGGTACTCGGCGATGGCTAGGAAGCAGCGATTGGTGACAGGCAGTCCGTCACAAGGAGCATTAAGATAAAATTAAAATGCGTATAAACAAAAATGTAAGATTCTATGCTGCAAGTCTGTGAAAAGCTTCTTAGACAAAGAGCATAGGAGCAAAAAAACCCCCACAAAAGCAATCATGTTGCCCATATAGGCTTAATCGTATACAAAGGCACTATTGCAAGCAGGTTGCAAAGGAGAAAAACTAAAAGAAAAAATTACCAAAGATGAATCTATAAACAATGCAATAAACGCAAAGAACATTCACGGAATTTACAATCACAGTTCATTTTAGACTCTTAAAGGAGAGAAAATAATGCTAAATCTTGTCAAGTTATCAATTTATCAGACATAAATCAAGTGCGCTCCCTTTCCCTATTAAAGGAAACAACCGCTGCGCTGCCTAATAACAAAATATAAGATACACCCCAATGTAAACATGCATGCATTTAATTATGCATTTTTCCATTGTATCTAAAAACAGCTTGCAAAAACTGCAGATTTTGCAAGCCCTCCCCTTCTAACCTCCCAAAGACTTTCTGTGACTGTCCAAGATCTGCAAGTTTCCAGGGGGTTTAACAAATTTAAAGGATCACTATAGTGTTAGGAAAAGGCACTAGTTTTCCTGACACCATATAAACCCCCCCCTCCCTTGGCGCTGAAGGGGTTAAAACCCCTTCAGTTACTTACTTTAATCCAGGCCCGGGCTCCCTCGGCGCTGGTGACCTCTCCTTCCCTGCGTGCGCATGCATTCAAACAGTCCATAGGAAAGCATTTCTAAATACTTTTTTATGGACGTTCTGCACGCTGAATGATATTTTCGCATCCAGCATCGCAGAAGCGCCTCTAGCAGCGGTCAGGAAGACAACCTCTAGAGGCTGGATTAACCCCAAATGTAAACCTGCTATGTTTACATCTGAAGGGTTAAAATCTGGGGGACATGGCACTCAGACCATTTCATTGAGCTGAGGTTGTCTGGGTCCTTTTAATTTATAAATGTGCCAATTTCTATTGAAATATGAACTTTTTATAAAATGAGCAAATGAGGACAAACTCTTCACGTTTGAAGCACTTCAGCAAGTTAGAGTGCTTTAGGGGTCTGGGGTCATTAAAGTCTCCTAGAGCACTTTTGTTTTGTAGAAACGGCAATGTTCACATTGCAGGTTTAAACAAACCTCGAGTGGTTGTCTTCAGCTGCACATAATCCAATGCTTTCCTGTAAGAAACATTGGTTGTGTGCAGTGCCCATCGCACATGTGAATCAGGTCCCTAATGCTACTCTGTGAGGACCATTGGATTGGACTATCACCAGAAGGAGCCATTCCACTTTGCGTAAGTCAGGGGTGGTAGAGATGCAAGCAGTGGAAATAGTCTCAGTGCTTGAAAAAAGGCAAGTACAACTTTTCTTAAATGTATGGTGAATGGCGGGGGGGGGGAGACTCCTGATATGCTACAAGGACGTAGCTAGGGTATTCACAGATTGGAGTATTTACCTGGAGGTATTTCTCACTATATCTACGTGTTTCGTTACAGGGAATGTATCTCTACCTGGAGCGATCTTTACAAGATCTCACGCAGAGGGGACTGGTGGTTGGATATGATACTCGTGGACAAGTGACCAGTAACTGCAGCAGTAAGAGGTAAGGATCAGATCTGTAAATCCGTCAAACAAAAAGTATTCATGGATTCAGTTCTCTCTAAGACTGTGAGTGATATAGTTTGCATATTTGAGTCCAACCTTTAAAACACACCTTTTTTTGCTGTTCATCCAAATAAGGCAAGAGAAAAAAAAGCTATTTGAAGCAATTTCCCCTTATGCCACAAAATATTAGAGAATTTTTTTTTCTTGACCCCATAGTCTCAATCAGGTCTCATCGATCAGAAGGCTTATTCGATGGAACAAATGCGTTGCTTTTAATAGAATATGTATGTAACTGCAGGTGAGAGGAAGTATGCTTTGCATTGTGGGAGGCGGATACAGGAGAAAATAACTAAAATATATTCTAAACTAAATGTAATTTTAACGTACCACCTTGACATCTATTAATATATAACATTATCTTGTGGTTCCCCTTAACAGCTCTGACTGGTAGAGCATTACAGAATTCAGATTTCAGAGCACCAGGTTCTAAAAACAGATTCTCCCGTCTTACGTTACCGGCAGGATGGAGGCACATGTTCTGGGGGAGGCTGATCTGAAATCGGACCAATCTTGCTTCCAGCTCATGTTCCCATTTCATAAATCACCATGAGGGGGTTTATTTTATCTGCTATTAATCCTGGGCAGTGCCAGATGGCTGAGCTATGGATATTACAGGCGCCCATAGTAGAAACATTGCAGTTTCCTTCCTAAAATCCGTGAACTGTTTTATCTGCAACAATTATCTCTCTGAATAGAATAATTGATTTGGGCTGGATAATGAAATCCTACAAATTATTCAGTGTTGGCACATGAAGCTCTCCACCTCCTGTGCAGACAGCATTGATAATAAGGATATATTTTTGTATAACCCTTTCATGTCATCAACCATTTTCCACAATTGGGAAGCAGACTGTTAACCTTTGCAAGACTTGAAGTAAACAAATTATTTAATTTGATTAGTCCTGACATTTAAAAAAGAATTCTTCAAAAGGATGCACAGCTGACAATGTATAAGTATAGAGATGAGATTGATGGCAACACCCTCAATTGATCTAAACACAGCATTTGTTTGAATAGTTTGCCAGAGTCAACATTTTTAAATAAAATGTAATTTCGTAGCTGTGCAATGAAGGGTTTGCAGACCTATCAAAATCGCAGTTACGGCAATGTGGCTGGAAGGAGCCTTGCTAAGCAGTGTGTTTTGGAATATGTCCGGTCTAGTCCCTGAAAGTTCTTAGTAGAGAGAGTGTTCTGCTCAGCATGGCTCTTCTGCTGTAGAATTTATTTGGAGTGAACATTCACCATCTCAGTTTACAGTTTGTCTTTTTACTTAAACGTCTCCCTCCATTTACTTAAACGAACACCAAGCACCAAAACACTGCAGCAATTGTTTTGTATTAAACCATTTTGGATCAGGCTCCAGCTTTTCTTCTGCAGCTGCACAGATAATGTGGCTTTTACACTTCGGTGTTATCAAGTACGAATCTGTCCAACCTTGGGTGATCTTGGTAGGCAGAGATCACTGGGGGGCAGGTTAACACATTGCTTTCAACTCATACATACTGTCCAAGGATATTTTAGCGCTATCAGTGCTGCTGTAGAGGGACGAAAAACCCACCAGTTGTGGGTGCTGGCGAGAGATCCTGTCTCTGTCAAACTTTAACAAAACAGTCTGACAGATAACGGGGAGGGGGCGGGGAGGAGGGAGGGATAAGGGGTAAGTGCTAGTGTACATTGCCTGTCCGCTCACTGACTTCTCTTTTTTGTTTTTTTTTATGTTTTAGACTTGCTAAACTTACTGCCGC